GTGGGTTTGGTGTGGATGTGGGAGTAAGTGTCAGTGGCTGGGGTTAAGTATACATGTGGGTGTGCACGAGTGTTGGTGTTCGCGTATATATGTGGGTGTTGATCTTATTTCAATTCACATCCACACTAACCCACATCAACATCCACAACGAAAGCCACACCCACACCCACACTTACGTCAACACCCCACACCAGCCCACATCCACATCCACACTCACACTTACATCAACACCCCACACCAACCCACATCAACATCCACAACGAAACCCATACCCACATCCACACCCACACCCACACCCACATCCACATCCACATCCACACCCACATCCACATCCACACCCACACTTACGTCAACACCCCACACCAACCCACACCCACATCCACATCCACACCCACACTTACGTCAACACCCCACACCAACCCACACCCACATCCACATCCACACCCACACTTACGTCAACACCCCACATCAATCCACACCCACATCCACATCCACACTCACACTTACATCAACACCCCACACCAATCAACATCAACATCCACAACGAAACCCACACCCACACCCACCCACCCACACCCTTTTAGCTGCAAAAGTTGACTGGATCTTTGTACTAAGACAAGTATCAGATCTTATCTAAAACTTGATAAAATCTTGAGAGAGTTCTGTCTATTATTCCTGTAAGGATCCTTAGCAGGATCTTGATTGAAACCTTGAAGAATCTTGTATTCATGATCTATAAACAAACCTGGCCAGGAATGTGAAGAAATTCTGAACAGGATCCTGTATAACCGTGAGAAATCCTGGAAGCAGGAATTATTAGGAATTGAGTCAGGATTCTGAGAAAAACTTGGCAAGATCCTGCCGATTCAGGATCTTGACAGATCCTTCCAAGTTATCTCTAGGAATGCACAGGATTGAGACTAAGGAAAGAATACCGATCGCTAATAAATTTTCAATGCTCTACTGACAGTATAAGTGCACAAACGATAAAGATAATATTCTTTCAAAGAAAAATATTATCAGTTTTTCGCTGGGAATATTGACCAGGTGTACCAGAACAACTTTTTCTCTCAAAAATGATGATATCGTCACCCCTATCGTATACTATATTAATATTCGAGCATAAGGATTTTTACACGAAGAACATCATTACACCGAGTTAGAATGCCAACTATCGGTTTTTCAGGTGAGTTTGTTTTCGACTACATGCTCGAATAAACAACTGTGTTTATTTAGTATACAATGTATTATTACTACTTCTGGTGCTTATCCTCTCGCCCGTCAAAAATTCTATATCAGCCACCATCGATTCTTATATTGATTCATATCGAATGAGTGTCTTTCGCATGGATCGATCTACTCTTATGCATCTTCCGATTATGACTGATCAAGAGTTTATACAGTATCTCACAGGGGATGCTGGTATTGATGACAGTAAGTGATATTTTGGGGTTATACTAATAGATGCCAACCGTAGTTGTGTTCTAATTTATAGGTATTGTCTTCATTCGGTCCGATTTAGGCATTTTCAACGATAAACTGGACACCCTACTAAGAGTGCAGCGCAATATCGACGAAAAATGGGAAGAGCTTATGGTGGCTGGACCACTTGTGATAAATTACTTGGGTAATCTGATGGTATTGTCCAGTCAGAAAGACTTTGCCTTTGCGTTGCCATCACCCAATTACTTGTACGAATTCATTCAGTATCCGAATTCCTTTCGTGCGACGCTCGCACAATTGTCGCACGACATGTATGAAGCACTGCTCGCTGCTCATACAAGCATGGATCGTATCCAGACTTTCACATTACAAATTCCTACACATATTAACACAACGCTCAAATTGGTGACGCGTGCTTCGCCCAATATGATCAAAGCACTTTTACCAAGCACTTTGGCAAATATTGTTCGTATTGCTGATGTGTGCGTCAATGCAGCGAATACTACGGTCGAGAAGTTTGAAAAATTGCAAAATCTTATTGAAGAAATTATTCGTGTTAGTGTGAACACTGAAACAGCAAATGCTAATCTCATCACTGAACTACAGCAGCAAATAAGTAATGGAACGAATGAGATTCAACTATTGACAGCCAACATTACAAGCATAAAAGAGCAGTACGAGGCGAAGCGTAAAGCTCTTGAGAAAGCCAGGGAAGAATATTGGAATGCTATGAATGCAATTCCTGGCCGACCAGCATTTAGAGGTTGGTTTAGCAATATCATCGGCTCTGCGTGGAATATGATCACATCACCCATTAATTTCATCGGCTGTGTGCTTGGCCAATGTTCCAATAATAACGGTGGAACAGCGCCAACACAACCAGTTGATAATTCAGCGTTCGAAAATGCGATGGCCATAGCGAAGCTAAAGCTTGAAGAACTCAAACGTGCCGAAGCCGAGCATGATGAGTGGTTTTAGAAGCAGCTCGGTGATCAGTACAAACTGGCTGCACTCATTCAACAGCTAGCTTCTCTAGATCTTGACAAGATCCAACCGGAGAAAATTATCGAGATTCTCAAGCAAGCTTTTACCGAGATTCAGAATTTGAAAATGCAATGGAGTGAAATTCGTCGTTTCTTTCTGTCTGTTTCTCTTCAGGCTGATAGTACCAAAGAACTAATTGGATCAAGATTTGTTAGTGTCATCGAAGAAGCGCTTGCTGCAAACATTCCCTTAGAGGACGATGACCGTGAGTTCTTCGTCGAGCTTGTTTTGGTTGCGGCGGAGGAGATTGATCAAAATGCTGCACTGCTTTATACTATGGCTAAAACTTATTACGACATTTCGAATATGCACATGATGCATCAAGTTGCTGGCATTGGCCATCTGCTAGCTCTTGGTGATACAGATGCACGTCGACAAGCACTTAGTAGTCTGCAAAATGATACATTAATCACATCAACGAAAGTAACTAATATGGTTCAAGAGAGACAATTGGCTTATAAACTTCGTTTAAACGATCGACAGGCTCAACTCCAAGCCTATCTGATTAATGCCACGATGGAAGCACTTCAATCAAATGTAGGCTAGCTATGTTTTTACAATTGTCTTTGTATTCCGTATTCATATGAATAAAAGGACGAAACAGGTTCCAAGAATTGAATCGAGTGGCATTGACGGTTCGTCTACAACTCCATAGTTTGATAGCACAACGGTATTACTAAACTGAGGCCAAATTATTAAGAATAATTGACAAGATTTAACCATTTGAGGGCCAGTGGTACATGTTTGTACCACTTTTTTTGTTTCCGACCACAAAACTATAATAAATTAGGAAAAATGATTCTGGTAGAAAGAACGATAATACTGGAGAGATAGGTGTGTGTGGATGTTGGTATGATTGAGGGCGACAATAACATGAATACTTACACCGACAACTAAACCCACATCCACACCCTTTTTATATTGCTATGCATAGAAAGAAAAGAAATATTTCGTTTTTTCTAAACAGCACTTTGGTCGGCTACGTTATATGTATGCAAACTAGGCTGCGACATCTGTATCAATCATCAAGTAAGTGAAGTATTGACGAAAAGTATATTTTTGACTTTGTTCGTTTAAGAGCACTTCTATGTGTGTAGCTGTCTGTAACGTTCCTTCTTGTCTTATCAATAATCAGATTAAGCCTAAGAAGATTATTTTCTTCGATGATAAAGAAAGACACGGAAATGAAAGTGACAATAGTTGATAGGTTGCTAACAGCGGCCTTTTGACTTGAGGATGTGGATGAAGAGAAGCTACATATCAGAACTCACCCATCCATTATCAAATTATTATTTTTGTCATCATGGCACTTTGCCAATCTGTTTCTGTTGAAACATAAGGAGCCATCACTCACTAACAAAATCGGCGAATTGAGGGTATGGGGTGTGGGTTTGTGTGTAACTATAAGTCTCTTCTTTATTCACCAGCACAATCAAACTCACACTCATACCCGAAGCCATATCCTGCATAGGAAATATAGGAGATATACGAGATGCTTGGGAAATAGAAGATATATGGAATTAATTATGTGCGTGACAGTGTGTGTTTTCATGTACACATTTGTTTGGAAATGTTCCAAACCTTAGTCGATCAGTTTCACATCTACACACACCAACACTCACACCTCAAAACCATACTCATTAAACAGTTCACGTCTTGTCCTCTGACCATTTTCCATTTAAATCTGATCCAATGTTGGTGGCTGTCGGCACGTTGCTTGCATTTTTATTTCTTATACCTGAATCAGACCAGAAACCTTTACATTTTCCCCATCCAAATGTTGTTAAAAAAACAGCAAGTCATTGAAGTACGCAACAACTCATAATAAAAAAAATACTTTAGTTTGCATATAGCTGTCGAGTATGGGATAAAATTACTGCTGTTCTCTCCCGAAAGAAAGAAGCAAGCCACCTTCGGTCTTTTTCTTCGGCGCTGAAAACATCATGTTACAACGTGTGAAGGTGAAGTAAAGCGTTCGAAACAACACGAGGTGTATGGCTTTTTTGTCGTATGTAAGGTTTGGTTACTCTTTCATATCTTTGGATATGCGATATACACTTGTTTGCTACATTAGAATAGGTCTCTGATCTGAAAAGCAATTTCAAAATATATTTGAGATGAAATATCTGATTGAGCCCTAGACACCTTCAAGAGGGAGAACTATCAAGACGATCGTTTATGTCAGGAGTAGTGTTTTTTTCTCCACATCCATTTCTACTGCCATTTGGCACTTTTCAGTACTAATTATTTGGCCTGGTATCTAATGATTGACTGAGCATACGTTCAAAATACAGTATATAACAAGACTCTTTCTCTTTCTCGTAACATGCACTACATAGGGTAACAGAGAGCTTTATGGGATTTTTCAAAATGATCGCCTGGGGAAACACCATACTGAGTCTTATAAACCTCAAAAAAGTGCATTAAATGGTACTTATTAAGTCGTGATTTAACTCAATTTGGAATCATCTGGCTGGAAGCATTTTCTCTTTGATAGTACTTCTAGCTTATCGACATAAGTCTTGCATAACCTAGCTGGTGTTTCTCATAGGTTATGACTGTGCACGCCTGTGTACGAGACGATGTAGGTGTGGGCATGAATGAGTTAATCTGATCGCGGCACACATCTAATTTCAGTGTTAGCTAGCGAATCTACTTCGAACCATTCACGCCTCACACCAGATATCAACTCACACTCACATTTGCACCTTCAAGATTGATCGAGTATTAGCCACTGTAATCGCTCTTAAGTTATATGCAATAACTCAGAACTAAACCTGTCGAAGCAAATTATCTATAATTCGATAATATAGTTAAATTTGTACTTCTTATGGTATGTTCCATGCCTAAGTTTTGTGATTAGCAAAAGTATGTTTTCTCTATAGGAAAAATGTCTAATGACTTACAAATAGTGCTAGGAGCCAGAAAATTAGGGTTTATACAATCTTCAACAGTAATGTTGTATATAATGTGTGGTATTTCCAATTGGTTTTTGCCATTTTTGCCTTTAATATGTTAGGAAAGATCATTTTTAAAGTAGGTGAATACTTGCGAACATCTAGCTCAGAGAGCAGGCTCAACTCTAAATGTGTCAACACAGAACTATTAGAGTCGTGGGTGTGAATATTAGTCTTCACTAAACCTATACCTACACTCACATCCACACTTACATCCACCCACACTCACACCCACCCACACCCCTCACACCCACACCCCACACCCACACTCCACACCCACCTACATCCACACCCGCACACCCAAGCCACACCCACCCCACACCCACACACCCACCCCCACCCTCACCCGCTTTTTTAGAAAAGTAATTATATATTGTGAAAACTCTTGAAATGCTCTATCGTCCTGTACATTCAGGTCTTGACTTGAACTTATTTACTGAGAAATATTTCGAATATTGTCAATGCGAGTGAGGGTATCTTCACTGTAGTCAAAATATTTTCTCAGCAAATAAATGCAAGCCAAGAGTGAAATACATAGGGTGATAGAGAATTCTGAGCGCTATGTGAATATATAATTACTTGCCTTAAAATGTAGTTTTATATTGGGGATATAATTCTACTGATCCAAACGCTCAGAACTTATGTGCCAGCCCAATAGTTTTCTAATGAGATCGCCTTGTTCAAATTTTTCAAAAGCCAATATTATTTTGCATGTCAGCACCTTTGAAGTGCAATGAGGCATTAAATTATATGTTAATGAGTATTTTTTTTTTGTTTATAAACAACTTTAAGTTTAAGTTTTCTCTTTATAAAAACTAATGCTTTGCTGTCTTGTGGAACTGTATGAAAGAGAAGGGTTGATTTTGCTGCCTTTCTTCTGTTGAGACGAGTTTAATAGTTGCGTCAATTTATTTTATGGAGAACTATTCTTATATTGTTTATGTACATAAAAGCTAAGAAGATATCATGACATGAGAAACTTGTTTTCAATGTTCTTTATCAAAATAAACAGAACACGAAGTGGTAAAAACAACTTGATTCGACTCAAATCTATTAGCAAAGTGACTTGACACATCCATCTCTGCGAACTTGTGTTTTTCTATTATTCTAAATTCTTTAAAAATGAATTATTAATTATACACTATAATCAAAGCAAACAGGTGTAAAACATAAGCTTCTTGGTTGTTGTAGTAAAGGATAGAAAAGATTTTCCAGTAGTTTGAGTGTCGGTGTAGGTATGAGTGTGGGTGTGGGTACGGGTATATTATTTATTCATACCCACACCCTGTTTTTTTTGAAATATTCTACGAATCAATCGGATGATTGACATGTATTCGAAAAATTACACAAACTACTACAGTGGTAATAAATATTGTATTGAGTACAAAACGAAAGGAATTCTTCGTAAATTATTAAAAGAAAAACGATAGAATTTATCAGTTTTATACAGTCGTGTCTCATTCACTGATAACAACTCTGATATGATGCTGATTAGAAGAGAGAATAAAGGATATTACATAGAATTCACTAGATTGAAAAATACTTTGAAATGCATATACGATGCAAAATAATATTATCAAAAAACAAAATTATTCTGATTTAGGTGATATCGATAAAAATATTTTCAAGAAGAAACTTTTGTCTCAACTTGAATGTCTCTTATAATGATAATTGTATTGTAGAAATGAGAAGTATTCTATTTAACGATATGAAGGATATTTCATGTGAATTCCGAATCTTAATTAAATTTAAGGCTTGCAAGTCTTTTCAAATCTTGTGAAATTCATAAGTTGATCGTTTAGTATCTAAATTATAATTTTTTAATATACGGATACTTTTTAATTGTGAACAATGTACTTTTAACATAATTTTAGTATATTGTATATCTGATTGAATACAAAAAATATTGAGAAACAAAAGTTTTAAAGGATTAGACGATTCAAGATCAGTTTCTTATAGAAACTTTTTATCTTAACTGAACTCATGAATATGTATTCGAAAGATAACTTTCTTTTATTTCCTAGGATGATCTACATAATTTGAAGTGTTTCTCATTAACAAGCTATCGTATTACTTTTTGTTATGACACGTTGGTCATGCCGCTTCTTCGTCGTATGAAACATCTTGAAAAGTTAGCTTTGTATCTTCGTTTACGTAAGCGATATCAATTTGTCGTCGATGGCAAACGTCTTTATAATGAAATTCTTGTTAATATGCCACAACTTCATACATTTAGCTTCTATATGAGTATAGAAAATTACACTGAACATTTAGATCCTCATCAATCTATTGATGATATTCAACAAGCATATACCAATATAAAATATGGACAAACAACTTGTATCATAGATTACTTCGGTTGGTTTAAGGCCACATTTCATATATACTCACTTCTATTTACATTTACTCGTCTGGAAAATATTACGAATCAATTTCCAACTATCGGATTTTGTACTGTAACATACTTGTCTGCATTTGATGTGATTCCAATGGAACATGAATTCTTCATGCGAATAAGTCGAGATTTCCCGATGCTTAAGTGTTTCACTTTGAAGAATAGACATAAGCAGGAAATACATCATGATGAATTGAAATCTGATAAGAATGCATCTTATTCAATTATTGAATATTCTCATCTTATATCACTTGATCTATTAAATGTCCATATCGATTATGTTGTTCAATTTCTATTCGAAACAAAGACACATATACCTCGTTTAACTGAAATAAAACTCAATTATAATCAATTGGAAACTGTAACAATGAACTTTACAAGAGGTGTAACTCAACGTAATTGTGCAAAAGTGAACCGATTAATTATCAACGATTCAAGAGATTTTTCAAAAGACGTTTATCAATATTTCCCTTCGTTGCAAAGTCAGTTTTATGTAGATGCCTTTGATAAAAATAAAATATATAAAAATCCTTCTATTGTAAAAGAGTAAGAAATACAAATTGTTTATAATCGGATATTGTATTAAGTAAAAGATATTTCGATAAGAAAATTATTTTTATTCTTCTATTGGTTTCTATTTTTAAGTGAAACTATGTAGTTCAATGAGAATTTTAGATGAGAAGAATTTCAAAAGAAAACTATTAAAACAGTTGTGATAACTGTTGAAACTGAACACTGTAGATCTGTATTCAATATGCACGATTATCTAGAAGTGAATATTCTTTTGCTCTGCTCATATTAATAATAACTCATTGATATAAAAAACAAATATTTACTGTTGATAGTTTCCATTTAAATAAATTAAAGAGAAAAATACTAGTATATGACCACTCAGTGTGTTCGATATACAGTTATTTTATTGTTAATAATATTGATTTATGAATAGAGGTGTAAGGGTGTAGGTGTGGGTGTGGGTGTGTGGTGTGAGTCACAGATCGAAAACGAACCGAACCCGAACCGATGTTTTGAAAAGTGAGTCGAACCGAACCCAAACCAGACGATCGCGGTTCGATTCGGGTCTATAGCAGTTCTGAGTTTTACATAGTCATTTTATATACTCAACGAAGTGCTCTCGTTTCTCCTAAACGAGTCACTAATTGAAGGGTAATCAAAATAAGTGAATGTCAACGGTTAAAATACTAAGGTACACCTAGTTTTAATTAACGGATGACCCCTAAAGAATGGGACACTTTTATTTCATTTGTTTTGAAGAATGGCAACGCATTCCAAAGGCTCTGCCCTAAGCTCATTCAATAGAGAATTTTTCTCTCTACGAAACTATCCAATTTGTTTTTCAAACAAGTTTTTTTTGTCGATGCAAAATTACACAGATTAACGCCTACTCAATCGTCCCACTGTAATTTCCTATTTTCCGCGCGCATTTATCGGTTTGTGTAAGCTTGTGCTCATCAAGTTCGACACTAAAAGTAAAGTATATAGTAACAACAGAGAGAGAGTTTTGTGCTCTATCCTTGCACGGCCTTTTCGAGGCTGTTGGGTGGGGTGTGGGTGTGGGTGTGGATGGGTGTGGGTGGGTGTGTGGGTGTGGGTATGTGTGGGTGGGTGTGTGGCTGTGGGTGTGAGTGGGTGTGGGTGGGTGGGTGTGGGTGTGGGTGGGGGTGTGGGTGGGTGTGAGTGGGGGTGTGGGTGTGAGTGTGAATGTGCGTGTGGGATGTGAGTACACTGGTGACAGAAGAAAAGATACACACCCACCCACACCCCACACTCACCCACACCCACACCCACACCCACATCCCACATCCCACACCCCACACCCCCACACCCACACACCCACACCCACACCCACACACCTACACCCACACCCACACCCACACCCACCCTTTTGAGAAAAAACAATAATGTCGTATGAATCAATAAAGCATTTTGACTGTATCATTTGTCTCTGTCTCCTGTCGTGCTCCTCCATTTTCGAAACACCTCACACAATCCTTCTGTGAATTAATCAAGTACATTTAATCTACGCTTTCAGTTTAAAATTTATCCGAATAGTGCTGCGTTTCTCGAACGTATGCAATTGTCAAGATGACTTTTTCTAAAAAGTTCCAATACTCGTTCTATGCTTCAGAAATGATGAACATGTCTCACGAGAAATTTTATGAACATAATAAAATGAATTCTTTGCAGCAATGCATAATGAAGCTCATTTTTCCGATGTGATAAACACTTTCTAGCTTTTCGCGCTGATTTCTGATGACAGATGCGGTTAAAAACTAGTTTTGCCTGACAATATTCACTATTCGGAAGTTATTATTAACCTAGCTTGATCAGAGTTAACGTAACCTGTATCCTTGCGTAATATGGAAAAAATTCAATTTTATAGATTTGTGCTAGGTAAAATTTTATTTGCTCTGCCAGTCTGTATGACGATCATGGTGAAGCATGTGGGATTCAAAGGTTGATCTATTGTATCGTCGCTGAGCTTAATTGGATAAAAATAAAATGGGTGTGGATATAGTGGTGGTGCTAAATAGCTGAGTAACTTCTTCTACCATATCCTTCTTGAAATTAAACATTTTAATTATTGGATCTAGTGAATGAGATAAGCCTATTAGGAAAATTACATCGAAAGAACCGTGTTAAGATTTTATTATTCTTGTGATCGACTCCTTGTTGTCGTACATATTTGATCATATTATGAAGTTTTTATAGCCTGATGGATCTTCTGTGAAATCTAATCAAGTAAAATCGATTGAGACCAGTAAAGTAATGATATGGGCTTGTAATTTTATTGATGTCATGCCCATGCATACATTCTTATTCCTAAATATCGTAATTTTGTAAATAAAATATATGGGAGCGTTCAGTGAGGAATACCCCAATTTTGTTTTCTTTTTAAAACCTCAATAGTACATGAGAGTACAATGTTTTTTTTTACCAGATATAGTTCATATGTAGAGCTAAAAGATACCTACCTTTTTAGTCTTATGTTGTGGTAGAAATAAAGCGTCCCAGTTATTTCTTTGACATCATATAGTTCAAAAGAATTTGTTTTGACTTTGTTTCTATAATTCAATTCTTACATAGAGAATTTTCATGAATTCTCTAAAGTCTTGAAGACTTACAATGTAGTTATTCAAGACGCATTGGTTTGGAGTTCAGCGTTACACTGCAAACTTTATAAAACTTATTTAAACCAGATATGAGATCGAAAAAAGTAGCAGACCGATCAAGAGTCATTTGAAAATCTATCCAAGACCTTTCAATGACTTTGAGAAGATGAGAAAAATGTCACGTGTTGTTCGTCCTTTGTCTGATATTAAATTAATTTTTAAGCTAAGTTCTTCCTAATAAAATTCTTTTACTAATACTTCATTTTATTTCAGATATTCTAAGTCAGAATTCAATTAAAGGATCAAAGTCAAAAAGAAATATCTTGAACTATATGATATCAAGGACATACTTCAGAAGCGTCGCTTCTATCACGACATAGAATTCAAAAGGTCGATATTTACTAGTTCTACATATGAACAACATCTGATAAAAATATCATGGTGCTCCGATATATTAGTGAGG